CCTGTGGCTGGGACGCTGGCCATTTCCTCCGCGTGGCCGGCCGGCACAGAGGAGCTCTTCTCGGAGGACGCCCCCCCCAGAGGTCACATGGTGTCACTCCCGCCCACGCGGGTGGGAAGGTGGCAGCAGGTGGCAGGAGCTCTGGAGGGTGGGGGGAGCGTGCGGTGGCATCTGGGGGTTCGCCTTGTCTGACAGCTGCTCCTGTGCCCTCTCTTTTAGGATTAATTCCTTTATTACATCATTTTCTCTTATTAGCTTGTTAATTTACTTATTTTAACCCTTTTTAATTTTTTTTATTGATTTCAGAAAGAGGAAGGGGAGTGGGGGAGAGAGAAACATCAATGATGAGAGAAAAATCAAGGATCGGCTGCCTCCTGCACGCCCCCCCACCCCCACTGGGGATGGAGCCCTCACCTGGGCCTGTGCCTGATGGGGAATCGAACGGTGACCTCCCGGTTCATAGGGTGACTCTCAGCCCTGAGCCACCGGCCGGGCCTGTTGAACCGTTTCACCGTGTTTGAGGGCACAGCTCAGCGGCATCGGAACATTCACACGGTGTGTGCGGCAGCCTCTCCAGAAATTTCCCTGTGAGTGATATTTCAAAACCACCACCAGAATTGGTCAGAATTTTGCATTTCTAAGTACTTATTCCAACTCTTCCTGAAAATACAATATTTAAGAACAAAGGATAACCTCAGAGATCATTTCTGCCTTCTACACCGTATTTTGGGGAAAATGACCGTTTGAAAGTCTCAATACCTTTTTTTGTCTGCTCTCAGCATGCGGGAGGCGCGTGTTTGTCCGTCTCTCCTCCGTCCGTCCGTGGACCCGGCTGCTCCTGCGTGCGGCTGTCGGTCACGCGGCTGTGCACGTGGGTGTGCGGTCTCCCAAGGACATGTTTCCTGCTCTTTCCTCGGTTGGCGGGAGGCGGGCCCATCCTGAGCCCCAGTGTGGCCATAACCGGGGTGTCTGCTGCTCTTGCACCCCACGCCCCTCCGAGCGCCTTGGGCGTCACGCCTTGGGCTTCTGGGTCAAGTCTATTCTCCAGGAGACACGCG